TTTTAAAGTGCTTGATATTCATCGCATTTTCGTATTCTGAATCAGGTATTCCGACCCAGCATACGCAGCAGGCGGGACCCCCTAAGGGGCAAGCTGTGTGGGGCTACTTGTGGGGGGGGTTTTCTTTTGAAACTCAGTATGATTTCATTCATGGAAATATGGCATATAGTTTTATTATATTTATCAAGAATTTATATACGCTCGAATGAAAGTTCGAGGTTTTTATACAACTTATTATGATATTTGACTTTTGAGAAGCTATATTTACATGCGTCTATGCATGGGGTACGTGATGGTTGATATGAGCTATGGAAAGGTAATATTTGATCTGTTAGTTGGAGTGCGTTAAGCACTAATTTATGTACCTCCCCTGATCTGATTTTGGTTACGGATATTGAATACTTTTGAAATTATGAGAACTCAGAACATCCTTGAGGGGATGTTGCTGTGGACCCTGGATTTGGGGTAGTCTGCGCGCGTAGGACTGGTATTTCAGGCGTACAAGCTTTGACTGTGTCGGCTGTACGTGCTGGCTGAGAGTTAGTCCCCCAGTTGGACGGCTCGTTCCCTAGACACATGGTGAATTGAGGAATGGCTCTGCCATGTGGACTAGTCAAACAGTCCCCCGGTTGGATTGTTTTCCCGGTACAATCAAATATTGGTTATATCTATATACTATTATTATGAGTATTATTATTATTATTCTGTTACATCATATGATTAGTATGTATATAATTATATATATATGAATGTTCTTTTGTTTTATTTACCGGTAAGGATACTTCCTCGCCAGTCGTACCTTTGAGAACGTTTATGAGAGTCTAACCTCTCGGAACTCTTAAGTTGAGTGGTGGGCTTCGTGAAGTATTATTCACGGATTATAGATTTGAGATCCGGTATAAATGTGTTAGTATGTGTTCATATACTGTTTATGATGTTTTGTTATGCTTATGGTTTCCTTGCATGTTTTAATAAAGGTGGGGGTTACACTATTTTGTTTTCACTTGAACTGAACTTGATTTTTGTCCACTCACAACTTTCTGTTTTGCGCCCTCAGCCAGTAGCGACTGAGCTTTGCAGTTGAGCCGGACCGGGTGCATCTTGGAATTCGAGTCTTCGTAGAGACTCTTGGTACCTTTTCCTTTCAGTTAAACGATACTTCGGTTGTATTTTGAATTCCGTAGATATGCTCTGTATCACCCACTGAGGGTTTAAATTTTGTGAGGCCTGTAGGCCTTGTTTGTAAATTATTTCATTGCTTGTAAAGCATGCTGCCCGTTGATTGTTTTTACCTGTAATTTTTGAACAGGTTGAAATTGGGAAATGTTCAATTTACAAGGGAGACTCTGCCAAATTTTTGGTAGAAAGTCTCAGTCTTTAGTAAGTGGGCCCGGCATCGGGATGATGTCGGTAATTAGGCGGGGTCCGTCCCAGGTTTCGAGGAATTTCTGGACGGGTCCTGTCAGTCGGAAACTACTCAACACACCTATTGTTCTTCCCCCACCTCTCTCTCTTCAATGAACTCTCTTAATATTTCCTTCCTATCTAATTTAAAACCCCTGTTTCTCATAGGAACTCACAACCCTCTCTCTCTTTAATGCTAAACTCATGACTGCTTTGCTTCCATGTCACAAGGTTCTCATGCCAAGCTAAGAATTTATCTATAAGCAATTGTTGGTTTCATTGGTGAAGGAGACCAAGGTGTTTCCTAAGGTTCAGTTACTCTTTCGAAGCACTTTTGAGGTATGATCCTTGAACTCAGACTCAGGGGCAATTTTTATACATTTGACTCTTTAAAGCAGCCCAGGCCCATCAATAGATGCTGGAACGAAAAAAGCCCATACACTCCCAAAGCATTCATTGGCAATCAAATATTTTGTGTAATCAAAAGAAGCTTTGTCCCACAAACTCATGCCGTTTGGGCTTGGAAAAAGGGCTCGCACGTCAGCAAGCATGGCACAACGTGTGGTGGGCTTGACTTTGGGGTCATTAATTCAATGCTTTGAGTGGGAAAGAATGGGTGAGAAGACGATTGACATGGCTGAAGGTAAAGGAATCAAACATGCCTAAAGTTATTCCCTTGGAAGCTATGTGTAAAGCGTGCCCTATTATGAACAAGTTTCTATCTTGATCTATGGATATAATATGTTAGAATGGGCTTATTTGTGGAAATCCCTATAGTAAATGTTTGAACGAAATACATAATTAGATGCAAGACATGCATAGTCGAGCATTGTAATTTAGAACAAATATTTTACCTCCTCCAATAAAATCATTTTGCTAGGTAGCATGGATAAGGTATTGTTGAAAGGATTGATTCCTTTTGGGGCTTCAATCATTTCTCTCCTCGAATGTATGCAAGGTTTATTTACATCGTCTATCGTAGTTTGTTTAGAATTTTGTAAACACTACAAAAAAAAAAAAAAAAATGGCAACAGTCACTATTATTTGGTGACATTTGCTGGGGTGACTAAATGCTTTACTCACCAAAAAGGCCTTTTGGGGTTACAAAATATGGTTCTCCTCCAACCCAATAATAAGACCATCTCCAACCATTGGGGTGGAAACCCAAATTTTTAGTTTTGAGCCCAAAATTCTTCTCCAACTCATATTTTGGGGGGTGAAAATTTGGGATGGAATTCTAGTCTAAGTTTTGCATGGACTGGTAATTTGTGTAGAGCTCAAAGCTCTGTTTTGCAGCCCATGTGAAGAAGAAAAAGAGGTGGGCCAGCGTGACAGCAAAGCTGTCTGGCTAGCAGCCCTTTTGAGCAACACATGGCAGCTTCAGGAGAGAAAGACGTTGGAATCCAACGGCTGAAAAAAGTTGGGTGGTTCTTTTTCTTTTTCTTTTTTGCAAGAGTTGGGTTGTACTTGTTTTTATTTTTAAGTGAAATTCTATTATGCTTTGAAATTTTAATTTTTTAGGTTAAAATGTTTATAAAATTAAATCATGAATGTTGAAACAAAAATAATGTCAAGAAAAATTAATGACAAAAAAAATTATGAGTTAATTATTTTTAAACAATTTAATAAAGTTGTGGACTCAAATTATGAGTCTTCAAATATAGGTATTTATTAGTCTCCCCTCTGTCATAATCATAGCAGCAATAATGCAATGCATGAACAGAAGAATACATAGTCTCTCAGCCAAATTTAAAAAATAAAAATCTAGAAGTCCCTGCTTAAATTTCAAAGCCATTCAGTTACATGCAAAACCGCGAAGCTTCCGTGAAACCCATGCTTATACAATTTCGGTCAATTTCGTACAAACCAAACTGAAAGCCTTGTGTTGTTGCGTCGTTCACGTACTAACATGTTAAGGTGGACGAATAGTGGAAACCAAATAAAGGGTTATTATTTAAACTCTCATTTTCCACCGTCCGAAAAAGAAAAGACAGAAAATTATCTCATTTTCCTTACTTTTACTCTTGAGCACATGGAAAGCATTGTAAACGCAAAATTGGAGCCAAGCTTTGCTTTCCGATCAGGGACGGAGCCAGATTCAAAGTTTCGGGGGCCCAAAAAATTAAATGTACCAAACATCTATTTTAATTAACATGTATTAAACTTATTTTGAAATACGTTAAGCTCTGTAGCCATTTTATTTATTTATTTTTAATCAATTTTTTTAACCTATTTGGTTAGTTATGACAAGAATTAAGATTTTCCAACTAAATCTATCCAAGTATAGCTATTTATTTTTAATTTTTATACTAAAGAAATCAGTATCTACTAAAACCCAAAAGAGAAAGATATAAAAATCAGCAAAGAAAAGCCAATATAACTTCACATTATTACTCAAAATGAATTTATCAGGGTGGGCCACTCTGGTTTTGATGTAGAACGACTTGTGGAGGAGATCGAAAAGACGGTAAAACCTGGTTGTTGTTGCAGGTTTGGGTTTCGAGTTCCGATTTGGGCACATGTCGGTTCGCAGATAACGGTGAGATGATTCAAACTCACTGCTCTCCCATGATGTTTGAGTTTTTTTTTTCGGTTAAATAACGTTGTTTGCTAGGTCAAAACTACATTTAAGTTTTGCAGCAGCAGTTTTTGAAATTGGGTTGTCATTTGATTGTCTTCACGCTGCCATTTACACACAACCCATTTAAAAAGAACACCAATAACTTATCATTTCCCTTTTCTAACAATAAGAGCATCCACAGTTTGAGGGTATATTTTCGGGGGTGTAAACTCATTTTTACATCCCCTTTATACATCCGGAGTTGTAAATGTGGTTTTTGCTCTAACGAGGAAAATGTAAATCTATGTATAATTGATTTTTCTCATTTTTGTCCATTTTTTCTCATGTAGGCCCCACTTGCAACGGATGTAAAAAAAGATGCATGTGTGCATCTAAATTTGCATATCACGGTTGTGATGCAAATTTACAATCGTTTATATCTCCCAATTGCAAGTGATTTCGATCACAAATAATGTATATTTAACATACACTTCATTATACAACCCCATGCTCTAAGTCAATTTCTTCATAATATTTTTCTTTATATTACTACTCCCACGTTCCTCCCTTATATATAACTGCATCTTCAAGTCCAAATGAAAACACAAAGTATCAACCAATCAAGGAAAACCAACTATGGAAGACATCTTGTTCTGCACATCCCTCACCCTTATCTTCATCCTATTAACCTTCAAGTTCTTGGTCCAACCAAATCGACGTCGTTGCGAAAACCTTCCACCAAGCCCACCTTCACTTCCAATCCTTGGCCATCTCCACCTCCTAAGACCCCCAGTCCACCGAACCTTCCACCGCCTCTCCCAAAAATATGGCCCCGTTTTCTCACTCTGGTTCGGCTCACGCCGCGTGGTCATAGTCTCCTCCCCGTCCGCAGTCGAAAAATGCTTCACCAAAAACGACATCGTTTTAGCCAACCGTCCTCGCTTGCTCATGGGCAAGCACGTACTCTACAACAACACCACCATGGCAGGGTCTCCATATGGTGACCACTGGCGTAACCTCCGCCGCATCGGCGTCACCGAGATATTCTCCACCGCCCGACTCCAGACATTCTCCGGGATCAGAAAGGACGAAGTCAAACACTTACTACTTAAACTCTCACAAAACGCACGTGACGGTTTTGCGAAGGTGGAGCTCAAGTCCATGTTCAATGAGCTCACCTTTAACATCATAATGACGATGGTGGCGGGGAAGAGGTACTACGGCGACGACGTGTCGGTCGACAAAGAAGAGGCCAAGCAGTTCAGGCAGATTATGAGCGATGCGTTCCTTTATGGGAGCGCAGCGAACCCAGCTGATTTTTTGCCTATTTTGAATTGGGTTGGGAGAGGTGGTTATGAGAAGAAGGTGAAGACGTTGGGTAAGAGGACAGATGCATTCTTGCAGGGTCTGATTGATGAGCACAGAAGGAAGGGTAAAAATGGTACTACAATGATTGACCATCTTCTTTCCCTGCAAGAGTCGCAGCCTGAATATTACAACGACCAAATCATCAAGGGCCTTATTCTGGTTAGTCAAAAGTTATTCTCTCTCTTCTCATGCATTTGATTTTTTTTATTTTTTATGATCATGTTTCATGTCCAAAATCGGTGCGTTTATTATAGTGGGACATTGCTTGCTTCCCTTAAAACAATTGTTATTGTTTCACATACGGCTTACTTGTAGTAATGGTCTCTAAATTATACATGTAGTTACATTTTGGTCACTCAACTTAAAAAATAATTGCAAATGTCCCCCAATTATGTATCGTGTTGCACCGTTAATCTTTATCTTTAAGTTTGTGACTTTTATTGTAAAAAATAAACGTAAATTCAGCAATTCATCCACAACCCTCCCTCTCCTCCACAACCCTCCCCTTCCTCCCTGGCCACAAGCCACACGTTTCTCCTCCTCTAAGTTTCAACCATCAATGTCCTTGAACTTGAACAAAACATCCATATCCCTTTCTCTCTTTTCTTTCTTTTATGGGTAATTACTATGATTTTACATTTATGGATGTTTATGGTTACAGGGAAGGAGAAGCATTTGACTGGTCTTTCCCTTAATTTTGCTTTCCTTTTTCTTTATTTTATTTTAGTTTAAATTAATTATTTTTAATTATTTCGTTTTTATAAATATTTGGAATGAATTTTCAAGTTTACTTATAAATTTAAAGGAAAATAGACAGACTTAACGAAAGAGACTAGTAGTGCAACATGATACATAATAGGGGGACCTATGAAACTATTTTTGAAGTTAAGTAACCTAGTTCAGAGACCATTACTACAATTAAGCCTTCAACCCATTATAATTTATAAAAATAACTCATAAAAATCACAAGAGTAAAATTTCCATATTTGGGAACAAGATAAAAAGGAAAAAACCAAAAGGAAAGACAATATAATTGCAAAAGTCATGGCATAGCTGGTGTCCCACATGTTTACATATTCACTCTTCTGTGTCCACGTATCTAGCTCTGGACGGTGACTGTTCAGCTTTTTCTAGAGGATCAGATTGATTTCCAATTACAGTTGTGGTTTAGGGCATTAATTTGTCATATCTATAGGCACCAGACAAATTTTCTATCATGATTCATGAGGATAAGATTTGTAGGTTGCAACCAAAACAAATCGAAATCATTTTGCACCGGAATTGGTCCTTTATCTTAATATAAAGCTCGATAAATTTTACGGATCTTTATCTAGTTTTCACTACACTGTAATTTTTTATTCTGCATATTGTACAATATGCATTTTCATGGTTTATAATAAAAGTATAGGAGTTTCACTAAAACACCCAAAATTGGGACTGAAATTATAAAAAAACCCAACACTCAAAACACTTTATAAATACACCAAAAATCCATCATTACACACACTCAAAACCTATTTATAAACACACCAAAAAAATATATAATTGTTGATTTTGGGGTTGATTTTGTTTGTGTTTCTATGTTTAAATAGTGTTTGAGTTTTTATATATAGTAAATTTGGCTTATACCCTTCAAATTCAATTTGCCGTACCTAAAACCCTTCACTTTTTGTTCCTATAAATAATACTCAATTTGTATAAGTAAAAACCCATGACTAGGATTTAACTCAGCAAGTTACCTAATTAAGCATAAAATCTGATTTATT